AATGATTTTTGGTGAAAAGACCTGATGTATAAATATTGGTGACTTTAGTTTTTAAGGTTCTTTAGGAGGACAATATCTTCTTTTAAACATATGCATACCTTAATCGTCATATTGTTTGTAAGATGTACCAAACATATGGTAAACATCCTTTTAAAGCAACTTAACACAAATGTTAGGACACCCACTAATTTTTTGGTTGAATCTTGAATTGCCATCCCTTTTTTAATGTATTTAACTTTTTCTTTACAATATTTACCTTCCCTTCTAATAATTAGAATTGATAGCTGAATGGCAAAGTTACATAAATTTATTGTTATGTGGACTTGGAACTTGATATTCTGCCAAGTCATCTTTCTTACTATTTATCATTTAATAGGATAAATCTGGAATTGGCTTCTTGAATCTCAATAACCTTCTTTGGTGCTGATGATCATGAGCATTAGAGAGTGTGTCAAATTCTTGTAGTTTGAATTATTGGTTTTAGGGATTCAAGTTACAGTGGCATGGTAGTTCGAGCTTTGTCAAGTGACCGGCATAGCGTACCAGTGTACTGCCAGAACAGGAAGGAACCAAGAAACCAGCATGAAAACGAAAGTATTACTTTTCAATGATCTTCAGGCTACTTATATAATTCTTTGGCCTTTCCCTCTGGTGGTACTACAAGTTGTCATGATCGAATTTTTTTTTTCACTCATCTGAAACCATGATGTCAAGATGTAATATATAAAGTGGGGCTGAACTGGTTAGTTATGTTTAACTTTTACATATTTGCTCATTCCAAAGGTATAAACTAGTTGTCTTTGATACAACCAAAGACTAGGAATTCCTTGGACTAGGCAGGTGTCAGAATTTGGTGTTTCGCCTAATATAGGTGAAAGGGCATGAGGACTTCTTTGATGACTTTCTGTGAGCAACTTAGGACATTTCTTCTTGTGGGATTGCTAAATTGATTTATATTATGAAGTCTGCTGTGTGTCCATGACACCTGAGATTGTAGAACTTACAATGAAGAAAGATATATGACATTTGAGTTAAGAGTATATCTTGCATGGAATCATGGAGCACATGCGGACATAAATATTCTTTATTGCCTTCCGTATCAGTAGCTCCTTCCTACTAGAGCTGCATCAAGGTTTTTTATTGTCAGTTTGAATTGGTTGCTGAAGTGTTTATATTATAATCTACAATTTATATGCTTGATTTGTTACATTGTCTTTTCTGACTTTCTGACATATTTAGTTTTAGTATACTGCCTGTCTTTAGTGCATGAAATATCATGATATTAGTACCCAGTCAAATTTTTTATGACAATGAATGTTTCACAATCAATTTAACAAACACATCTATGCTGCTGGTAATTTGTGTCATAATGTGTTTTCATGATTTCATATCCTGGTGGCAAGTATAAGCATCTAATAAATAAGGATGGCCTAGTGCACAAGGCTCCCATTAGGTCAACATATGCAGCCTTACCAAAAAAGGAAAAGAAAAAAACTGCATCCTTTTTTACATGTTTAATTGATCTTTTTTGTAGTTGTCCTGAAACTTAATCACATGTTGCTTATGTAGGACCCACCAGAGGATGCTGTTGTGGCAATGTGTGGGCATGTTTTCTGCTATCAGTGTATATCTGAGCGTTTAACTGGTGATGAGAACTTGTGTCCTGCACCTGGTTGTCGAGATATACTTGGTACTGAGTCCATTTTCTCCCGAAGTACATTAAAAAGTTGTATATCTGACAATTTTGATGATGAAGCTTCGACTAGTTGTTCATTTGATGATGGATCAATTGTCCATAGTGGTTACATCTCTTCCAAAATTAGAGCAGCTCTAGATATACTAAAGTCAATCTCTTGTCCAAGTTCTGAAGTACATAATCTCATGATATGTGGTTCCAAGTCCGATGCCAATGCTTCTGATCATATTTCCACTCTGTTAAACTCAAATGCTGACATGCTAGCCAAGGCTATTGTTTTCTCCCAGTGGACCAGCATGCTCGACTTACTTGAGCTTTCATTGAATGAGTGTCTTATGCAGTCTCGAAGGCTAGATGGGACAATGTCCCTCATGTTACGAGACAAGGCCGTGAAAGACTTCAACACTGATCCAGAGGTTCGATAATCAAATAATTTATATAATTTTTCTGTACTTGTGGTTGATTTTAGTTTGTGCTTTAATTTTTTCAAGTTGTTGGTTTCTCTTCTTTTTCATTTTTGAAGAATAAACATCGGTATTGTTCTTCAGGTAACTGTTATGCTCATGTCACTTAAAGCAGGAAGCCTTGGCCTGAATATGGTGGCTGCTTGTCATGTAATTCTTCTTGATCTTTGGTGGAATCCAACTACTGAAGATCAAGCAGTTGACCGAGCACATAGAATTGGGCAGACTCGTCCTGTGACTGTTTCCCGAATAACTATTAAAGATACAGTCGAAGATCGGATACTAGCTCTTCAGGTGACTTTTTTGTGACGTCGTTTTTTTTGCAGCATTTTATGGTTGGATCATTATGGTATTCTCTTGTGTCATCATTAATCACAGACTCTTAAATTAAATTATGGAGCATGTGACCTGAAGAATCAAAATTTTGAACTCTGGAAAACAGTTATAGACTTTGTAAGTCGTGTCTTTATCTGATTGTTATTAGCTGCTTTAGTTGGTTCACATAGCTAATACGTTGATTTGCTTACCGAATGGATGCAAGGTTAATGTGGAACAATAAGATGCCAAATTTAGTTAATCCCAGAAAAATAGGGGAAATTCATTCTTAGTTGACTTAATGCTAATTCAGTCTTCACACTCTGACCCATTGTTCTGCTTGTGTTAATGCTAATAATGCACAGACCTGTTCAATCTAAAATTTCATATTTGCTGAAAATGATTGTAAGAGTACTATTTGCTAATATCATAAATTCTGATATTCTGAAAATTTTTTCCATGTATGTAGGGTCTTGGATGAATGTAAATAGTCCTTCCCCATAGGGTTCTTGCTTTTCCAATTGGCAATTTATGTTCCTTTACAAGGTTTAAAGGTCCAGTTGCCTGCATGACTAGGCTTAATCATGATGAAGCAACCGCTGACCTTGTAGACATGCTATTTTTAAACAACGGTCAAACCAACATCAAACATGGTATCTTTTGGTAGTACTTTGTATCTAAAGAAGATAATCCAAGCAATGGTTGATAATCATGTGGTAATGTACCATATATCCCATATTTGACTAGGAAGTATTTTTCAGTATTTTTGAAATCTTAATCATGTTTTGTTCTTTCAACTTCATCTCTATAGTCATATTATTGCTATAGTCATATTCAAAGTCATGCATCATTTATAACGTTAATTGCACCATCTGCACTGAAAATATGTTTTATCCAGGAGGAGAAGAGGAAGATGGTTTCTACTGCTTTTGGAGAAGATCAAACTAGTTCTCATGCAACTCGTCTCACGGTGGAAGATCTTAGGCGATTATTTAACTGCTTTGACGACTGAGTTTTCGCATGAATCATAGTAGTTGATTCATATCTTTTTGGATATGAATGAATAGGATTGTTGTTGGCTAATTTTTTGAGATGTGCTCCATCCC